ATCGAAAGCAATGAATGACGTTTATTTGTCGAATTCGTAGAAATAGTGTAAGATTCGTTGAAACAGTAGGTCACAAATAAAATCGGTATAAAATTCGCACCGCGAGTCTCGCAGGATGCAAGACAAAGGGTTAACCCTTAGCACTCCAGGTTGTTTTGTAATCTAACAGCAACTGCAACTAATTTACAGTATTCCTAGCGAAAATCAGAAATGTTATAACATTTCTTCAATCTTTTATTTTCCTTCTCAATACAAAATTTGGATGTGTGGAGAATCTAATAATGTTAGGGTAGTTTCTTTAAGACTCATTAAAATATTTAATATTATAACTGATGCAATATTGGAACCAACAGAGTTGAAACGGTTAAAAATCGATTATCATGCGTGTAACTGCGTCAATCGGAATCGTCGTAAACGTTTACCGGATAATTGATAATACTCGATACGCGTGAAATCGACGCGTTTCGTAAATCCAGCGTTAAACTAAATACATAAGTGGCTCCGTCCGCGTCGCGAGGACCATTTTCCCTCTCGTCCAGCGAACGCGGCGGGAAAAACGGCGAACGCAGTTGCGCAAGCGTGTGCAGATCAATTATAAAGCAATTCCTCGCCGAGGACTTGCGGTCTTGAATGGATTATTGCGATAACCGCGCTTCGAGAATTCCACGGTTCCATGAATTAATGGCCGCCGAGATGGACGGCCGCCTATCGGCGAGAATATTCCCATCAGTCTTCCTTTTGGCGGGCTTATTTTTTCATAGAACAAGAAAAGGCCGAGTTGAACGCGCGCCGAACGAAAACTGGATGTTGCGAAATCCGTTTGCGCAATTCGTTGGATCGCTATTCAGCCGACAGGTCGGTGCGTTACGAAGACAACTCGAATTACAAAAGTTGCCTCCGACGTTGAAGACGTTCAACACCGGGACTAGCAAGTGGGTCAGATGAACATTTCTGATTTCTTTTTTCGTAATTATTCGGAGAACACTTCTCCGAGCGGTCATCGACATTTATCGAATACGTTGATCTCGCGATAGGCGAACTGAAGTGTAGATCGATCGAATTTTCGAAAGAAGCACTCCAATTTCTGCGATAGAGCGATGGGAATCGAGTTTGGTCGCTTGGCAGGTTCTAGTGTTCACACGGTTTGTTCTATTGTTCTTCGAAAAATTGTTATTGTTAACACGTCGACTGCCGCACGATTTTGCCGAGACATATAGAAAATGAAAATAATGTGACATCAACTTATATTGAATCACCTAGTTATTATTACAGGTTTGAACCGTTGAATGTCAGTGCATTAAGTTGTATTATAATGTAGAAAAGTTTTCAAATAATCGTCGTTTAATCGAATGAATTACAGTAATTCGATTTGGTTTAGGTCACCGGTGACCCCGTGGCATTCAACGTGTTAAACTGGTGAATTGTTAAAAATTGTTGTTTTGAAATTGTTTATGCCTTGGAAATTAGAGGTTTAAGAGTACACAACTATGATACATATTTGCGTAACTGCGTTGCTAAATAGCCAGACATTTGCCAATTAATGCTTGTAAAATTCAGTATGAGTCAAATTGGCTCGTTCCGTGAATCTAGTGTTAAAAAGTGAAGGTAAAGAACGGGATCGAATCGATTTGGGGCATAAGTGAGAGCTCATAACGAATAAGAAACGTTTGGTCTCCGGGCTAGGATAATTTCGTTGAAAAATTAAGGTTTCTCTTGCGACAGAGACTTCGCGTAGTTACAAATGAGAATTTAGCCGATGCTGTTGAGCCCGGTATGTTGTGCAAGAATTGTTCTTGTTAATCTGCTGTCGGACGACACTGTTTGCCGTGTCTTCGGCACTATTTGTCATTTAACAGAACGATAGGCAGGCACGTGGAAGTTCGCAATCCCCTTTGTCCATTATTTGTCGTCCGTCGACAGAAAGATAAAAGATAAAAACTATTGGTTATTACCATATGCGAGTGTCCGAGGTATTGCGCGAATTTTGTAGCGGAAAAACTCGTTTCCCTCTTCGTAACAGAATTATTAGTACACCGACGATTCAACGAGCTAATTAACCAAACCGATTAACTCCGCTGTTTGAATTTTTTAAGATCATTGAAGCGCTTCGTTAGCTCTTGACTTTCATATTCAAAATAGACTTCATTTATAGCTGTGTTTAGTGCTATGAAATAAGAAACAGTTCTTTGAACGTGTAAAAATTACAGTAGTGTTAGAAATTACTTCAGGGATATACTGTTCCGAAGATGACGTGTATTTTACATTGGATTAATTACTGCGATTAATATGTAAAACGAGGAATGTCTTAATTCGATTGAAATCAAATCAATCAGTCACGTTCGAATTAAAGGTCTAATCGCGAATGGATTGGTACGAACGAAACGTAGTTACACGAGAATCGAATAAAGGGACGTCTCCCTAATCTCGACGGGTTACGATCGGAACGAGGCACTTTTATCAAATTTCATTTACATGGGACAATGTCGTTATCGTACTCCAGATTGCTCGTCGGTGCGTGCCACTCCGTTCTTCATTGTTTTATCGTTCGTTGCTTCGTAAAATCGTTACTCCGCTGTGAACGGTTCTTTTAACGAGGCTCATTTCCCTGCGTAGCCAGCAGAGCAATTCAATTTGCATTTTGCAGTCTTCATAAAACTATTGTATCACTCTATTCCGTAAATAACGTTTTTTTACGCTGACTTTTAGCGTAGAAGGTTCATATTTACGCTTCTCAATCGTCGGCGTATCGGCCGTCGTTCTGTATGACGTCTCTCAATTTTTAATTAATCTTCCAATGTCATTTTCGAGGATGTTCTATGGTACTTCATAAAAAAATCCTTTTTAGTATAGATATTACAGGAAGATCTGAGTGTTCCTAGAAGTTCTAGTCTCAACAGTTTACTACCACAGTAGTGACTAATGATTGAGCTTCCAAATTGAACGATAATAATTATAATTATTAAAATTATACCAAATTTGCTATGAAAGAATAAGCGATACAGAAAACACTGCCACGAGAATTTCTAGCGTTTCGAATAATAATACTTATTCTTTAATAACAAAGGCAAATGGTATTGAAAATAATTATCAATGGCTTAGCATCACAGCAATCATATTACACTATGATCTAGCTACTTATGTTACTAAATATTTTTATTTCAAATCAAGTTTTTTACTGTAATTGTTCTTCAGCAACCTGGAAGCTGCAGCCAACGTGTTGATAGGAATTTTAATATAACGAACAACCTCGCGAGAACCATTGTAATTGAATTTAAAGGAATTCTACTCGAATCGGTCAATATTAAGGTAAACATCAGTTCACCAAACCCTTGATAGTACTTTTCCGATTCGATCGACTTTGTGTCGAACAGTTCGTTCACGTTCTTAAGTTCACGGAATGTCTTCTCGAATTTTTATTCTCGGAAATCAACTCCTACGATCGCGGGTTCGTGTAAACACCCGCAGTCTACCAGATCGGCGATAGCGAAAATAAATCTTTGACCTGATTCGCCGCGGATAAGCGTGAATGGAATCTCCGTTATCTAACGTGCTTACCTTTGTCTGAACAGTGATTTTTTAGATGTTTTCCCGATGTATTCCAAGAACCTCGCACTCGAAGTATATCCATAAACGATCGATCACTACCGATTTATTGGGCCTGTACACTTGTATACTTACGCGTTCCACTTCGGAACGGAATTTCGTATTTTTACAGCATTCCATCGCATGATCGATAAGGATTCCAAGCACTTTTCGTGTGTTCTATCAGCGAGGAGATTTCAAATTCCATTTAACCCTTTGCGGACGAAGATTCTTCGAAGAACGCGAAACCTTCAGCGGATTCGGACAAATTACATGACGGTTGCTCAAATAATAGAGAAAAAAGAAACTACGCACTGATCCCTTGCTATTTGAGTTATTAACCCTTTGCACCCGAGAGTTTTTCAATGGAAATATTCGACACTTCTTGACGAGATGTAGGTGATATTGTTTGAAATTAATTTAACGATAATTCATGGATAAATTAAGCAACAAAGGTGTTTTATTTCAATATTTCACGTAACAGTGCGAAGTTTAATTTGAAATATTAATTATTCAACTTTATAGTTTTATTGCATCGAATCAAGTGGTGACTGAGAGTTTACCACAGTAGTCACTAATGATTGAGCTTCCAAATTGAACGATAATAATTATAATTATTAAAATTATATCAAATAATCGTTAATTCTTCCTTTTTGCCTTTGCTACGAAATAAGCGATACACAAAACACTGACACGAGAATTTCTAGCGTTTCGAATAATAATACTTATTCTTTAATAACAAAGGCAAATGGTATTGAAAATAATTATCAATGGTTTAGCATCACAGTAATCACATTACACTATGATCTAGCTACTTGTGTTACTAAATATTTTTATTTGAAATCAAGTTTTTTACTGTAATTGTTCTTCAGCAATTTGGAAGCTGCAGCCAACGTGTTGATAATAATGATAATAATTATAATTATTGATAATTATGTGACTGAGAGTCACCTCTCGAGTGCAAAGGGTTAAACTTTGCAACTCGGTATTCGAAATATGAAAGTTTGACCTCGGCGAAACGCCGACATTCGTCCGCAGAGGGTTAATTTCTCTTTGAAAAATGGATGTTTCAATACGGAAAATCATGAATGATTTCTTATCTCGCAAATTTTCCTTCGAAGGTCCGCTGGTTCGTGCAATTAGAGGCATTCTGTTCATTGGACTCGAGAGACTGCAAGATGACGACTTGAACCCACCGTAAGTTCACGTGTCCCGCATCATGTGCCATCTCGGAGGAAATCCCTGATGCCCTACATTCGTCTCATCGAAATTCAACCTGTCGCCTTGGAATATCAAATGAGAAACGTGGGGAACACGTCCGACACAAGGAAATAATAAAATATAAATAGGATTCACTAAACGTGAAGTCGTGTCACGGAGTAGATCAGAAGGTAAAGGGTCAATGTCATTTCCATCGGATTGCGTCATTTCTTAATCGACTCGTCTGTGTAAGTGTTTACGTTTCGAAGAGCAGCTTGATTCTTCTAACACTAGGCTCGTCGCGCGTGGCAATTTGTCGCATATTGAATTTCATTAATTGTTAGATGTTTCAGTCGATCTTCGTCGATGCAACTATACGAATATATGTTCCGGTCGAACGTTAAAAACAGTTGTGACATTTCGGTTCTCCGTAACAGTTTTCAATCGAACCTTTATTTAAATTAAATTTCTAATTATAACTTAAATTAAGATTATTAAATTAATTTCTAATTATTTTTAATTGAATTTTTAAAAATTTTAATTGATTAAAGAATTCCAATAACATAGCATTTTAACGTATTAAACATAACAAGCTATTTTACACAAACAAAGCTAATTTATTTCAACATTTCTCAAATTGATGCATTATACACTTGCATTAGCCATTTAATTTTTTAAACGCAGGGCAGGAATATTGCAAAAACAAAATCTTCAAAGTTATATAAAAGATATGTCCAAAGTGTCATTTCAATTCATTACGTACGAATAAAGTATATTGAAGTTCATTTAGATTGTCTCACTTCAATATTTAATTACGGAATAATAACCGTTCGTATGGGATAGTTTCTGCGTGAAATTCTCGGTCAACAATGTGTTAAATATCAAGTTTTATTGTTTCACTGTATGAAATCGAATGGTGAGCGAGAGTCACCTCTCGAGTGCAAAGGGCTGATATTCAATAAAGTTTGTTCGTTCCCTCGATAATGAATGGATCTGAAATTTGCAGGCAAGGGACAAGGTACCGGAAGTGAAGGTGGCTCGTGATGGCGAGCCAACTGTGGAAGGCGCTCTCCAGGAGGCGCATCGATGAGAACCAGGAGAACAAAAGCGAGCTGGCGCGTGTCCTCGGGCTGTTCGATCTGACGGCACTCGGCGTTGGCTCGACCCTCGGCCTCGGCGTCTACGTCCTCGCTGGCAGCATCGCGAAAGAGATCGCCGGCCCAGCTGTTTGCATCTCTTTCCTCATCGCTGCTATCGCTTCCGCGTTTGCCGGTAAACCAATGTTCGCCAGCCGGACGCTTATTAGACAGGGCAAATTGACACATTCCTGAATCCTTCTTTCGCAATAATTGAAGAAACAGATGCTTCTGAGAGAAAGTACCAAAATTCATTTTGTGATGCGCAAACTGAACAATAAAGGAATCCTTCTGTCACAGTGATTGAAAAGATAACATGCTTCTGAGAGCAATTATTATAGAAAATTACCAAAATTCAGTTAGTTTTACGCAAACTGAACCATAAATGAATGCTTCTGTTACATTGATTGAAAAGATAACATGCTTCTGAAAGAATTTATTATAGAAAATTACCAAAATGGAGAAATTACCAAAATTCATTTAGTGATACGCAAACTGAACCACAAACGAATCCTTCTGTCACATTAATTGAAAAGATAACAGATGCTTCTGAGAGAATTTATTATAGAAAATTACCAAAATTCATTTAGTGATACGCAAACTGAACCACAAACGAATCCTTCTGTCACAGTGATTGAAAATATAACAAATGCTTCTGAGAGAAATAACAAAACTTCGTTTAGCGACACGCAAACTGAACCATAAATCAATCGAAACACCAATGGATGCACTCGTAGTGTTGCTATAAAAGAATTCGACAAAGTCAATTTGCTCTGTAGTCCTAGCGCTAACGAATTCTAGTTGAATACCACGAGGATCTGCTGTCTAACTGTGCACGAAAGCGTTGCCAATAGATACTTGGCTGCAGATATTGAAATGACGTAGGATTAAGTACTCAGCTTTTTTCTGAAAAGTGTAAACTAACGTAGAACCATGTTTCCGGTATCCAGCTGAAGAATTCAGAATAACCTAAAATTATGTTACCGACATTTAAACAAATTAAAAATTACATATGTCTAAGTCGCCGATATTCAGCTGCAGATATTGAAACAACATAGTACTACGTTACTGGAATTCAAAAAAATTTAAAAACGACTACGTTATCAGCCTTGATTGCGTTCACAGTTTAGTCTTCGAGTTCTAACATTGTAAAAGTGAACCGAGACACGAAGACGTATGAGCATGACTTGAAAATTGAAAACCTAATTTCATCCAGGATCAGATGGTAATTATCAAAATTGTCATTTCAGGTATGTGCTACGCGGAATTCGCTTCCAGGGTACCAATGGCAGGGTCGGCGTACGTTTACAGTTACGTCACGGTGGGCGAATTCGTCGCTTTTATCATAGGATGGAATTTAATTTTGGAGTATGTAATAGGTATGCAGAATATTCTCCTTTCCTTGTCTCTTCTGTCACTTGTGTAACGCTCGTCCCTCTGTTTTTCCAGGGACCGCAAGCGTCGCCCGCGGTTTGAGTAACTACTTGGACGCCTTGATCGGGAACGCGATAAGCAAAGCGTTGATCTCCGTCATGCCGATTCGCGTCTCGTTCCTATCGGAATACCCTGATTTCTTCGCGTTCGGCGTGGTGATGCTCCTCGCCATCCTGCTGAGCGTGGGCGTTAAAGAGTCCTCCATGTTGAACAACATTTTCACCGTTGTGAATCTGCTCACTATCGTGATCATCGTCGTGGCAGGATCTATAAAGGGTACGGTGTCATTTTTGTCAACGCTTCGGACCATTCTGCCAGTTAACCCTCTGTAGGCCCGTGTAACTTTGAAGTCACATTTCAGTGTATTGGCATCTTGTTGATTTATTTCATTTTGCACTCAAAGTGGCGAATAAGATTAAGTAAACAGTTAACTTCAACTTTTATATGCCCAGGCGTGAAAGTTTAACGTCGTTGTAACTTGAAAGTTACAAAATATATTCGTTTGATGAAATTACTGAAACTATTGAATGTATTGTTAGTTCGTTTTCATGTGTGGATATTTATTAATTTTACACTGCATAGATTTTGTTATAATCATGAACAAAAATTCGGCCTATAGAGGGTTAACACGTTCACACCGGCGCTGTAATTTCCACTCCCATTTGGCGGCTGAATTCTCAAAATTGAGAAAAATATTGAAATGATTAATAAGTAAATTAATTCTCAACTATATGGCTATATTAAGCTTCGTAGAATGCATCAATTTGGGAAATATTCAAACAAAATAGCTTTGTCCCACGATGTAAGTGTGATTTCTCGTCGAGTTAGCTTCACAAAATATCCTCTCTATCTCATCAGAAGACGTTAAAATATTTCTAATGAAAAACTTCCGAGTGCAAAGGGTTAACAGTTATTTCTAATACCATTTGCCATTGTTTTGAAAGAGTGTGTATCATCTGAATATTGAAACGAACGTTTAATTTGCCAGCCGACCCTGCGAATTGGAGGATACCGCTGGAAGATATACCGGACACGGTGAAAAACGCTGGGACAGGCGGATTCGCGCCGTTCGGCGTCAGCGGAATAATGATCGGAGCTGCGAAATGTTTCTACGGTTTCGTGGGTTTCGACGCAGTGGCAACCACCGGCGAAGAAGCCAAAAATCCACAGAAGAACATACCCATAGCCATCGTTTTATCCCTGGTCATCATCTTGATGGCTTATTTCAGCATCTCCACTGTGCTGACTATGATGTGGCCTTATTATGATCAGGTGCAGTGGAGTACAGTTAGGAGATGACTTGGTTTTACAATTTTATTTTAGCTACATAAGGTAAAAGCATCAGTAGTTGGCCAGTTAAGAAAAATTGCCTGCGCGAATAATGGCAAACGCTCGTTCCCTTATTGAATGGAGAGACTCTACACGTGGAAATGCTGTTCGAACTTCTTACATTATGTAGCAAAGCGTACTTTTTTAACCCTTAGCACTGCAGGTTGTTTTGTAATCTATCAGTAACTGCAACTAATTTTTATAGTATTCCTAGCGAAAATCAGAAGTGTCATAACATTTCTTCGATCTTTTGTTTTCCTTCTTAGTAGAAAATTCGGATGTGTGGAAACTCGAATAATTTTAGGGTAGTTTCTTTATGATTCATTAAGATATTTAATATAACTGGTGCAATATTGGAGCCTATAGAGTTCAAAGGGTTAAATAGTTGTATTATACAAATTTTAGAGGCATTTTTGAATATTCGATGCTGGCGTCGGAAGTTGACCATCCTTGAAAACGAGAGAACTAGCAATTGACCTATGCTGGTTGGCAGTTGAAAAGAAGTTAATTACATATGAAGTCTAATTCTAGGTTTATTAATATAAGAAACTACATTTTTATTACTTTTAAAAACTCACGTTTTCTCACGTTTTCCTGAAAAATGGTCAACTACTGGTACCAGGTCAGCTACTGGTGCCTTCGCCTTACTTCGTTTTATTCGTAATCGAGAATATTAGTAATTAAGAAGCAGAACCAGGAGAAAATGAAATGAAGAAAGTGAGAACCGATATCGATCAGTCATCATGCTGATTGCTGCCGCATTCTTCAGCCTAGCCATCAAGTGATCTCCTAGCAGTACATTCAACTTTCCCTTATGTTCACTTGCACTGAATCGTATGATCAGAAAATGGCAATTGTTTTTTTATTCGTATCTGTCTGTAGGACGCTGACGCTCCATTTCCCTATGCATTCGAACAAATTGGATGGATCGCCATCAAGTGGATTGTTAACATTGGAGCAGCGTTCGCGCTGTGCACGAGCTTGCTGGGATGTATGTTCCCCTTGCCGCGTATATTATACGCCATGGGCAGCGATGGAATAATCTTCAAGTATTTCGCGATCGTGCACCCGAAAACCATGACACCTGTTTTCGGCACGGTGATCGCTGGTTTGTTGACCGGCGCCATGACTCTTATATTCAATCTGCACCAGTTGATCGACATGATGTCCATCGGAACGCTGTTGGCTTATACGATAGTAGCTATTTCTGTTTTAATATTGAGGTAAGCGCGTCGAAGGTACACGCAATGTTAACACGTTGACTGCCACGGTAGTCACCGATGACCGGAGCTTCGAAATAACTTGAAAACAATTATAATTCATAAGATAACTGACGTCGAATAAAAATATTCAATGACGCGAATAACTAAATAATATTGTAACGTAAGAATTGTGGTAGCAAACAATTAATAATTATTCCTATTTATCGTTGTTACAAAGGTGTAAGTGGTATGTAAAATACTGACGTTTTTCGTGGCAGTCAACGTGTTAAAGGAATATGAAAAGATGATTGGACACATGTACCACCATGGACGTATTCAATTTACTTTTCAAATGGTGTATTTATGTTGTACTTCAGAAATATATTTATCGTATTACCATGTTTAGATACCAAGAGAAAGAATGTGTCTCTAACAATCATTCCTTAGGGATGACAATGAATAGTTATGAATTGACACCAATTAATATCTTGAAGCAAGTATTCAATCTTTATAATCAAAAGGAAGCAACTGAGATTTCTAGCAAAGTTGCAAAGTATGGTATTGTACTGTTATGTAAGTTTCATTATTAGCCTCAGTATAGATATTAACAATGTTGATACTGATTTATATTTTCTGTATTATTATTACAGGTATTATTATATTTATTATTGCACTGTTTATCAATAACGTGGGCGCAAATGCCTTTGGCAATAATGTAATAGAAACTGTGATACTAGTCATACTTGTGATAATATTGTTTTTGAATTTAGCAGCTGTCGCTAGGCAGCCTGTTCAAGAAACTGACATAGCATTTAAGGTACGTGTTGTGAACATTTATTCTGAAGAAACCGAGGAACAGAATGTAAGTTAAACGTTGCTGTTGTCCGCAGGTACCGTTAGTGCCATTTTTACCAACTTGTAGCATTTTTATCAATTTTTATTTGATGTTGCAATTAGACGCTTTCACGTGGATCAGGTTCTCTATATGGATGATAATTGGTAAGTGTAACAATTGAGTTAATAAAACAATATCCATATCCGCATTCTCTGTTAATGATGTTTTTTATTGTCGCAGGATTTGTTATTTATTTCTTTTACGGCATATCTCACAGTGAACAAAGAAAAAGAGATAAGGTGGAAGCTGAAATGATAAAAAGAAAATACGCGGATCAAGTTAGAATTGTAACTAGATTCTAACAGCAATATTGAATTATGTGATATTGTTTGGTATTAAGATATAATGAACTCAAAAAAAGACCCTAGGTATTACAAGAAGTGATTACCATTACAACATTACAATACGATTAATATACAACTCGCGTAAGAGTAGTTAGAAAAAGGAAAAGACATTATCGTTTTGACTGTATAAAGTATTTTTAACAATATTATTATTATAATGTAAAATAATTCTTACCACGAAACTATAGCCAGTCAGATACTGACCATTTTATATCAGTATATGCATAAATTATTGCGCGTTGTAAAATGATTATATTATTATTTTAAGCATACTCACAACATTATTTCGTAAAAACCTCTGACCTATTATATAGCATACAAAGATATTGTAAAATCTGTTTGTTCCTTTTTGTATTTATATATTGTAACATATTAATACAATTTACATATTTC